GCCTAATATTTGCAAATAACTTTTTGTGTTCTTGTAGGAGATCACTAAATGTCGCATTCCGGAGGGAATACCTAAGTAAAACTGAATGAATGAATCGCTACAATCGTTGCCTAGCAAAAGCCGACTGTGCAACGAATTTACGAGCTCGCGTGCTAGCTGAAATGCGGTAGGCAAGCACGTTTGAAAGATCTAATGCATCATGTAATGCTGTTAACTGAAAACTTTCCATAACTGTTTTCATAATGTTGTCTATTTCATTCGTCCATTATTGCTTACAATGTGCTGGATACAAATGCACCTCTAGAAATAAAGTATTTTACATCGCTTTTTTACAGTAAAAATAATGATACGTACTGAAGCGGAGAATGCACTGTGTAAAGAAAGAAAAACCACTCACACTTTAAACCAGCAGCTCTGTTGCGCCGCTCTTTGCTTCTAGACGCCTAGGACGACCATTTAAGCAGACCACGACACTATGGTATTTAAGCGCCTGTAGTGCATAAGGACGTAGGACCGAGTCAAACACTGGTTGAACAAAAGTATGTTCAAACAACGAACACTGCCACGATACGTAGACGAAAGAAAGAAAAAACGGATCCCCGATGTTATAACTGTCACCTTTAAGTATGGATAAGGAAACGAATACCATTAATTAATTTCTTTTTGAATTTATAAATTTTAATCTATTATAGTGCTTTGATTATTTGAACATTTTCGCTGTAAGACAATTTCGTACTAGCAAAATATAAAATTCAATCTTGTTCACCAATTACGATTGCTTGTCGATTCGCTTCGACCATGACAATCGAGCGCTCGCTTAATAGCCGCGTTGCGGTTGTTGAAGTTACAAGTCACATGAATGAAAAACGCTGTAGCCTCGAGGCGCCCTCGCAACGAACAATGGGCCCACTCATCGCCACCGCCGTTTGCAACCTTGTTAACGCAGCGCAAACGACACAGTGGTCATCGCTGCGGTGTGTCTTTGAAAACGCGACTGCCAAGCGGAGGTCAACGACTACGACAACGGACGACAAAGAGACAGTTCATCACAAAAACAGGACGTCGTCAACACAAACGGGCAAAAACTCGTCGTTCGGTCATTCTCACGTTCAGATGATAGTAATTACATGTGTCTGACGATGTGTGTCTGTTGCTATTCGCCGACGGTTGTTCCCCTTCTGCCGTCCGGCTTTTGGAAGCGTGTCACAACGCGCAGGACAAATCACGCAGGTTTATAGCCAACCCTTGGCCACCGGATACGAAATACTTTCAGATACTGCTCACCGACTGGACGAAGAAGAATAATTTACCAACTCTGTGCCTCAGGGTTGTCACTGATTCATGAAACCAAGCTGGCAACTAAGCGTCAATAACGTTCTTCGTCCAAACCAGCGGCAATTATACCAAGTGTTATCGCCATCTGAGGTGGTTTATCGATTGCTGTACAAAATTTCGATATATAATAGCTTATAGTTGCGAGTAGAACAGATTATATTAAAAACTTTACTTGCCGAAAATTACACATGGCAAAGGAGCGACCACATATGAAAGCGGTTTGCGTTACACTTCGTGGTCCTAGCCGGTGCCACAATAATTTTTATTTATCTAATTAAATACAATCATGAGCTTTAATCTGAATTTGGTTTCTCTTTCAAAGAAAACTTTCCCATCGGAAACTCACGTTTACAACAAATCGGCAGAAACTTTTCTACCTTAGGTGCCACGGTCTTAAACTGCGACTGCTGCGGGGGACGTTCATGGCGAGTAACAACCATTTGATTCTTGTCTCACAAGCAACGCCACGAAATTTCAACCACTGAAGATTCCATACCTTAAAGGACGGTAACTGCGCCAACTCTAAATTTACCCTTACCTCACAAGTGGTTTATCTCTCAAGTCGTTTCCTGTCATCTTGAAGACAAGACAGCGATGATGCATTCGTCAACTGGTGTCAAAAAACTATTTAACAAATAAAATACAAAAGTCGAATATTTAATAGCGGAACGTAATTAAAAATTAAAAAAACACTCAAGCGATAACACCACACATTCAGGCCTCGCAAATACAAAACCACTCAAGATCATCTGCAAATTCTTCAAGAAACTACTAACGAACAGACCTAAAACAAAAACTTGACGCTGCATAGCCAAAGGAACAAGTAAGATTCAGAAATGGATCATCTTCATGGGGACAACAAGTACTCCAGGCAGGAAACGAATATCAGTTTGTTCGATCGAGTTCAAGAAGGATTTAAACTTAGTCTACAGCCGTTATGTACGGGATTCTTTCGGAAGCCAGAAAATCGAAGATACATAAAGCTGATCGTCTTGATTTACAAGAATGCAATTTCACTGTGTAAAGCTTCACAAAAGCAAGCTCTAAATTAAAAAGGATATTCTACGGAAGTTATTCACAACAATCATAGAAAATGCGTTCAAGGCACTCCATTGGGAGAATCAAAGGATGAAGATAGACGATGAACATTAGCCGTTTCCGGTTTGCGGACGATATTCTGATCTTCTCAAGATCACCAAAAACGATTCCAAAGAAGAATTCAAGAGCTAAGGGACGCTACCATGAAAGTAGAACTAGATATGAATGTGAAAATAACTCAAGCTATGTTCAACAAGCACGTCATCGCACGCTTTGTTCAAATCAACGGACTTTGGCTTACAAAAGTACAAATGTTCGTCTATATGACATTGATCTGGGTCATCTCTGTGAAACAGAGAATTGATTATATAAAATCAAGAGCAAAACAGAAATGGCACGGAGCATTTTTGGACGACAGAACAAACTCCTGTCCGTGAATTTGTCTTTATGGTTGAAACAGAAAGAAAATGATTAACCTGTTCTCCCAGTGTTAACCTATGGATACGGAACATGCATCTGAAAGCCATTCATAAAATAAATTTTAAAACAAGAAAAAATTATAAGACGAACAAATACGTAGGCGAACAGACAGGCGTTTGTGAAGTGATTACACTGGTGAAGAGGAAACGGCATTGGGTAGGGCATATTGTAAGAAGTGACCATCGTCGGACGAAAGAGATAAGTTTTTGGTTTCAGGAGACATAAATAACTGGTGTAAACATAGCCAGATCGATGAAACATGAACTGAAAAAATTCAATGGATAGAGAAGGAAAAGAATTGTAAATAACAATTTATGGCAAAGACCTGAAGATAGTTTTTAAAGCAGTAGATCAGAAAAGCCTAATCATGGTAATAAAGGATTCTAATGTTCTAGATGATAATTAATTACAAATCTGCAAGAAGAAAAAACACGAAGTAAAATGCTAAAGCATCCAAAAGGCATTTAGCGCAACTAAAGGCAGATCATGTATTACCCGGAACGTCGCAGTTGCACTGTCCTCGTAAAATTTCTCGCAAACAAAATCATGAGTCCAACCTGTGTCAATGACGTTTCGACATCCACGGGAGGGGTCAGAGTACCAGGTGTGGATTATCCTAGAGGCGGTGATACCTGAAAGGCCATTGCTGAGCCTGCTGCAGATTAGTTTTGAATGGCTGTAAATTCACTGATTTTTGATTCGTAGGTCTACTTTATCGTTTAGATCTTATGAGTTATGAACTCCGTTGGGGCAACAAAGACAGAAAATAGGTTATTGAAAATGAACATAATGTTAATTTTGTAGTTACCAATATTCAGAGTAATATATGTTAATAATAATGTTATATTACTATGCATCATATTCAAAACAGCACGACTTCTATACGCGAGAGATGATTGCGTGCTTAAGAAAGTCACAAGCAGGAGAACAACGTATAAAATCTCTAATTATAAACATTACATAATCATACTGAAGCGTCGAATAAAACTCGGTCCATCTTTAGAGTAAGAATGAGTTACATTACGTGATTTTCATGCGAGTCGTGTTGGAACATACGACAAATTGCGCCGCATTTTTCGTGCGAACGTCGTTATATCTGTACCTGATGTTATGGGTTTATCTGTTGCTGACATTATATCGGTTATTAAGATCACTTATAATCCATG